GGGTCTCCAAGGGCTACAGCGAAGTCCTTAGAAATTATTTCTCAAAGGGGTCTTCGGCAGAACCCTGTCTTTGAGTTCACAGACATTTGTGTGGCTGCTACCTGATATCCACGTGATTGGAGCTTGCCCGAGTATGGAGTGGCAGGGGCAGGGAGGATGTTTAGCCACTAACTAGTACCAGGACATGTGCTTTTGTAGGTGACAAGCTTATTGTTAAATTGGGAGGCTAGAACATAGGATGTGTGGGGAGCTCTTGGGACAAGACTAGGTGGTGTGTATATGACTATCAGTATATTGTGTATATGCACACATGTTGTCTTGGGAGAGCAATATATGTGTTCTATGCATGGATGAGTGTCTGTGATGGGGCAGTGTGCATATTTTTGTGTACATGTTTCTAATAAAGGCAGTGTCTGTGTGTTGTGTATGTGTACAGATGTGTTTTTATGCTGTGTACCCACCAATGGCTGTCTGTGTTATGTGCACACACATTGTGTGTGTGTGGCATGTATATGCACAGGTGTGTCTGCATGAGGACAGTGTGTCTTGTGTACATGCATGTATGTGGAGGGGCAGTATGTGTATGTTTGCATCTACAGGGTGTCTATGTATGAGCAATGGTGTACATGATGGTCAGGGCAAAGTTTGTGTTGTGGGGCAGTGTGTGCTGTGTTTATCTGTGACTGTAGGGGGCAGTGTGTGTGTGTGTATGTTGTGGGCTTGCATAGCTCTCTGTGGGATAGTGTGTGTGTATGTTGTTGGCTTGCATAGCTCTCTGTGGGATAGTGTGTGTGTGCTCTGCGCATCACACGTGTTGTGTGGGGCAGTGCATATGTGAGATGTTCTTGGCCCTCATCACCCACAGGTTGAGTGCATTTCCTTATCTACTCAAAGTTCCCTTGGGACCTTCCGGTCACCTACTAAGTAAACTCTTCACATCCTACCTATTTCAGTGGGTTTCAAGGTGACCAGCCTAGAACAGGAAAATCAACCTGGTGTCTGTTGGGCACCAATGTTAGTGCTATTCAGCCCCAGCTTTGTCTTCATGGCAGAGAGACAGGAAAGTAGGAAAGAGGATACTCACAGTCCCCAGGCCACCACTTGGTGGCAGTCATTGTAGGGCTGTGTATCACAAACTCCTGGGTGGCAGCATCATAGGTGGCTTCAGTCTCCAGGCCCTTCAGATATGACCCTTGGGATCAAGGGGGAGAGTTAGACTCTTGGGCCAAAGTGGGGTACTCACTGGGGAGTAGCTCCTAGGGACAAGGTGAGCTCTGGACTGCAGCCCTATCTCCCTTTTATCTGTGGACTGTGTGAGGACATAGGAATGCATACTGATGCTTCCAAAAGGAATGTCTTGCTCCTTTGGTAGCTCATGCAATGTATGTATCCACATTAGGAAAAGGAACTCCTTCCTCGAGACCCGTGACTGCCATCTGCTGGGGTGTTTCCAAATTAACATGTATGTCTATGAGCTATGAATGGGCCCCCCTGGAGTTGCACAGTCTGAACACTGCAATGCAATGCAGCTCTGGCTCACCGTGTCCCAGCTCTGTCTGGGCATATGTTGCGATGATTTGGAAGTTTTTGCCGAGTTGGCCCCATTTAGCAATCTGCTCATCTGAACCCAGACTTGTGAGAGCGTTCATGGCAATACCATGCAAGTTTAAGTTGGTATATCCAGAAAGTGCTCTGTGGGGGAAAGAGATGCTATAGATGAGTAGCCTGTTGGAAGATGGGTGCATAAACCTTCAAACTGGCTGGGGTGTAGGAGGGAAGGGGCATCTGGCACCCTAGGGTTCCAGTAAGTCCTCCTTTGCTGAGGGAAATGTCTTTTGGGCTTGGAGGTTGCAGGCAAGCCTCTCTGGTGGATGGGTCTACCCTGGATGAGCACCTGTTAGCATAACTGCGTTCAGGACTGTCTTCTGACCAGCCCAGATGCCGGGCTAGCATCTCAAGGTGGAATGTCTTTTGAACTGCAGCCTCATAGAGCTGATCTTGGCTCAGGAAGTAATGGTCCTGCAAGCTGAACACTGGGTCACTTTGGAGGATGCTCTCTGCAACAGAGAACAGAGGATTTCGGTGGCTTGGATAAGGTTCCTGACACCTTCCGATTTTCCCACCCACTGGCCTCATGGATTTGGGAAGGAAGTCACATGTCACTGTCATTTAACAGCTGAAACAGGTGAGACCCTCTGAGGAAAGAAATGTGCTTTTCCCACTATGCTCTGGTGGAACCAGAACCAGGATGTGAATCTTCTGGTGTCTGGTGTCAAGGACCAGTTTGCTACTTGAAAGAGAGACTAAGCTTATAGATGGAGCTCATTTGGTAGAATGGCTACCCAGAATGCGTAGAGCCCTGGGTTTGATCCACACCACCAGTTCCCCAATACTACAGAAACCGGCCTACACCCTCAATCCCAGCATTTGGGAGGTGGAGGCAGGAAGATTGGAAGTTCTAGATCATCCTTGGCTACATAGCGGTTTGAGGCCAGCCTGGGCTACACGTGGCCCTGTCTCAAAACAACAGCAACAGCATTAGTTAAAGGACCGTTAGTTAAAGGAGTACACAATTAGTTAACGGGCTGTTCTAGAAAAAAAAAAAAAAACATGTGGGTCCAAAGCCAGCCCTTGGCCTCCCGCCTCAGCTTACCAACTTTCCTCCTCAGCATAGTGTTTTGGACGCCTCCGTCAAGGATGTTGGTGAGCCGATCCACGCTGAAGGATGGTGTGCGCCTTTCGCTGTCTATGTCAGGGTGCACTTGCCTGCTCCAGTTGTCCCCCAGTGACACTCGGTGCACCCGGCTCCCCATCCTGGATCTGCCTGGCGTCTGCCTCGAGTCTCTGTTCTGAGCACTAGGAGGGGCCAAGAACCTGCGTACAAAAGGCATTGCCCAGGGCTCGGGTCAGCCAGAAGCTGACTTGATTACCAGAAGGTCACCACGCTCGCACTCTGTCCTCATGGCTGCTGACTGTGGTGCACACGTTGCTCACGAGTGAATGCAGTTCACGTTGCTCTGTCTGCAGTAGCCAAGGCCAGGATGATTTGACCACAGAGCTCCTATTCTGTTCTCTGCGGCTTGTGTCACTGCAATGCCTGGGACAGTCTTCATGAAAAGTCAGTGGGAACCAAGCAGAAGAGAACAGTCCTAGGAAGGTTGAGCGAGGGGCTACCACCAGAGGTGGCTGAGAGCTGGCTGGGGTCGGACATGAAACATATACCCTGTTCATACTTTACCGTACTGGGAGGCTCACTGCAGGGACTCTGTGGTCCCGCTCACCTCTTATCTTTACTTCTGTGATACCCAATGAGCACTGTGGAATGGGGTCTGCTGGCATAGGCCTGTAATTCCATCTACTTGGGAGGCAGAGATCAGAAGACCCACCTGGAGTTCAGAACGTGTTTCTAGGATGGTCTGGGTAACTTAGTGAGACCATGCCTCAAAGTCGTAGCGGAATAGTGGGAGAGTGTTTGCCTAGCCTACACAAGGCCCCGGATCCAGTTCCCATTACTGTAGACGAAAGGGGTGGAGGGGAAGAGGAGGAAGAAGGAAAGCTTGTGGAAGGAAGAAAGAGAGGGATAGAGCCTGCTCTCTTCCTGTGAAGTGTTCCCCTGGAGGCCCTGTAACCCCCACAGCTAAGGTGACCCCTGCCTCCTTCACACCAAACCCTTGGCCTTTTAGAAATCCCCGTTCTCCCACAGCGAGTCAACATTTAGACTCATCCCTTTACTTTCTTTGGGCATCCTAACTGTGTTCCTTGCCATCTCCTTGGCCACTGCTCAGCCACCTCCATGTCTCGCCTGGCCTCAGTCTCTCTTATCATGTTTTCTTTTCTTGCTTGTAAATGGGTCCTCAGTGTCCAGTTTGTAGAAAGGAGCCCTTGCACGACCACACACTTCCCACCAGCTAACTAGCCCGCCTGCTCTGCCACCTTAATCCCAACGCCCTCTTTTCCTGACCTTTGCCCTGCTATTCCCTCTGGCCAAGGCTCAGCTTCCCAGTGCCCTAGTGTGAGCTCCAGCCTCTTGTGACTGTACAATAACGCAACCCTCCCAACTGAGCATTCCTGTAAGAACTGTGCATCCCTCTGGTACACTCTTGCCCAAAGCAGTGAGGGCTAGGAAGGTGACATTGTGTCTCCCTGATCCCAGAGTGTGGCTGTCCACCTTCCCTGCTGGCTCTCATCTGCTTTCTTTTCCTTCTTCTCCTGATCCTGAGAATACAGTAAGGGCCTAGTCATTTCTTAGCGAGGACAGGACTGAGGAAGGAGGTACCCTTGTCAGCCCACAGCTCAGGCAAGCTTCTGAAGCGGGGCTGTGGGGTACTGACGGGTCTGGCATGTACAGGGACTCTTTGTCTGCCTGCCTTCCTGGGAGGCTTCCTAGCTGCCTCTTCTTGCTTCTAGCTTTTTTTATTTTTTTCTATGTCAGATGTTCTTGCTGTTCCCCAACTGTCCAGCCTTCTGCCATGGCCAGCCTTCGCCAGGGCTCTGCCTCTGCCTGGACACCCTTTCCTCAGATGTCACTGTGGCTTCCTCTGTCTCACCTCGGTTTCAGGCCTCAGTATGGCTCCCTGCACCCCCTTTAGCAGCCCAAGCTCCTGCCTGCATTGCTAATACCCCCTCCTTTCCCTAACCGTCTAAGAGGCAGGATAAATAACTCATTGCATTTTTATTGCCATTGCCGGTTTCCCCTTGCCAGTGTAAACTGGCTGCCTATAGGAGGTGCTTGTAGATAAGACTGAAGGGAAGAAGGCAGCGCTCAGAGCCTTGAAGGACGCCTAAGCTCCTCCTGAACCCTTGCTAGGGTCTGTCAGCCCTCTGGGACTCACCTTGTCTCACTTCTGTCCTGGGGCAGCTCTGTAGGCCCGGCCTCGCGTCTCTGCTACAAGCCCAATCTTTAGACTGTTGGCTCCACCCCTTTCTCCGCCCCCAAGGGCTGGGATTTACAGGCCGAGTCAGAGGACAGTTTGAAGTCCAGCCCTTTCCTGCCAGCGACCCAGGGCCAGTGGGGTGTGCAGCGTCAGGTACTAGGCGGCCTTGGCAAGATTCAGGCTGCAGTCTCAGGGCTAGGGCTCCCTTAGAGGTGCTATGACCTAAAGCCATGTTTCCCGGTGGTGTTCCCACAGGACAATCCCGGACCCGTCCTAGTGGCCCCCACTGTCCTGTATGCAGGGAGGTGAGTTAGTCACGTGAGCTGAGCAGGCTTCCAGGTGGTTCTTAAGGGAAAAGACTGCTCTGTCAAGTGAATGGCTTCGCTCTAAATGTGGCCTTGTCTGTGTCTTGCTCACCGTTGGTGTACACACCCTGGCTCAGTATTTGAGGACTACTGTAGTTATGTTATTTCAGGTCCCTAGGAAAACGGGTCTCTACAAGTGAGATTGCCCTATACCTCCACCCTTTGCTGGGGGAGGTAGGGTGGAGTCTTCCTGCTCTGAGTGAAGAACTAGATAATGCCGCGTGCCCAGGTGGTGCAATAAGTAAATTACCAGCCTGAAGTTTGAACGGAATGTCGGGTGGCAAAGACGAACTCTTGGCTTCGTTTGTATATTATTGGGAAAGAAGGCACAAGAGCCAGGTCTCCTGGTGGGACTTCTGAAGCTTGATTCTGGGTAGGTGTCTTTCCATCTGGGACCTTGTCCATTCTCCCTCTCTGTGGTCATACATGTGCATGTGTGTATATGTGTGAGTGTGTTCATATGCATGTATAGTCTCACACTAAGGGACTGTACAGCTCCCCAGTGTATCCCCAAGAAGGGCGCCCAGTTTGTTCTACAGGAAGATGAAGTTTCCTGTGACCCAGAGTCCCCTAACCTGTCATAATGGGACTGTGTGGCCTGGACCCCTGGCTGTTGGTGGTAGCTACACACAGGTGATGGTTTCAGGTTAGATAGTTTTGACCAGGACTAGTGGGATGGTTCAACAGGCTGTTTTTCCAGAGGTTCTATGTTCAATTCCCAGCACCTAATTGTTCCCAGTCATCTGTAACTTCAATCCTAAAGTATCCAAAATCCTCTTTGAGATCCAGTACCCTTTCCTGGACTCCATATGTACTATGTGTTTATGGTGTACAGATATGCATGCTGAAAAAATGCCCATGCACATAAGAATAAAATAATATAAAAGAACTGAGCGATAATCCTCTCGCTATATATTTATATTTATTTATCAATCAACGGGGTATTCAGGTGATTCTGTATGTTAGTTGTTAAATGTTGCTGCAGTGAACACAGGAATGTTACTCTCTGTTGAACAAATATGTTTGGTTTTTATTTATTTATTTATTTTGATAATAGATATTCTAAAAGATAAAAGTGTACTTCATTATAGTTTTTTCATTTTCCTGATGATCAGTAGTGTCAAGCATTTTTCAAATATTAACCATTTCTATGTCTCCTTTTAATTTTTTTTCAGTTTCTTTTCCCATTTGAAAATGAGTAATTTGGGTTTTTTTTTTTGCTACTGAATTGTACTTTTTTATATATTTTATATGTTAACTGCTTATTAGATATTTGATTCACAAATATGGTCTCTCATTCTGTTATTGTTCCTTCTGCTCTTCAGGAGCTTTTTGGTGTGATGTAATCCTATTTGCTTTTTCCCCCTTTTATTGGAAATAGATTTTTTTTTCATACAGTATCTTCTGATTATAGTTCCCTTACCCCTGTTCCTCCTAGTTCCTCTACAACTCGCCTCCCATATGAATCCACACCCTTTCTGTCTCTCCTTAGAAAACAAATAGGCACCCAACGAATAAAATAGGATAAATAAATAAATAAAAATATACATATTGGAATATAACAAAACAATAAGACAGGAAAAAGATCCAAAGAAAAAGTACAAGAAGCACATGTAGACATAGAGACACATTCACACACACAGAAATCTCATAAAACCCTCAAACCAGAAGCCATAATATATATCCAAAGGATCTGTAAGTTAGAAGTAAAAAAACAAAAACACAGACAAAAACAGAATAGTGCTCTGACTTAGCAGTGTGACACAAAGAGCCTCCGGAGATGCCTTTGAGTTATTTTTGTGTTGGTTGTCCTACTGCTGGGTTAAGCCTACTGCTAAGAGTAGTTTGTTTTCCTAACGAGACGCCCTTGGAGAAAACTAATTTCTCTTTTGCAAGTGGTTATCAGCTGGAGATAGCTTCCGAGTTAGGGATGGGGGCGTGAGTCTGCTTCTCTCAGTTCTAGGACTCTAGGCCTCTGCAGTGTCTATGACTTCATAGTGTGCCAGCCCTATTGTGTGGCTAGGAAGTGGTCATTCCTTGTCCTCCACCCCTCTGTTTCTCACACGCTTCTGTCTCCTCCTCAGCAGCTTTCCCTGAGCCCTGAGGGGGCACATTTGAGATGAGCTTTTCAGGGATGAGTGTTTCAAGGTCTCTCACTCTCTGCACGATGTCTGTATTAGTTGCTGTCTGCTGCAGGAGGAAGCTTCTCTGATAAAGTCTGTCTTAATTAGGATTTCTTTTTTTTTTTCTTCCTTAAAAAAATTTACTTTTCATTTTACATACCAGGCCCAGATCCTCCCTTCCCCTCCCCCTCATTCACCCCTTCTAATTCCCCATCAACTCCTCAGAGGGGGTAAGGCCTTCCTTGGGGAGTCAACAAGGTCTGGCATACCAACTTGAGACAGGACCAACACCCTCCCCCACCCCCGTATCAAGGCCGAGCAAAGTATCCCACCATAGGGAATGGGATCCAAAAGGCTAGTTCATGCACCTAGGATAGGTCCTTGTGCCACTGTCAGGCCCCACTCCCCCAACAGATCAATCCACATAACTGTTACCCACGTTCAGAGGGTCTAGTTCACTCCCATGTAGGTCAGCTGTCAGTCCATTGTCCGTGAGCTCACGCTAGCTGGGGTCAGCTGTCTCTGCGGTTTTCCCATCATCTTCTTGACCCCGCTTGTTAATATTATTTCTCCTCCCTTTCTTCAGCTGAACTCCAGGAGCTCAGCCCAGTGCTTGGCCGTGGGTCACTGCATCTGCCTCCATCAGTTAACTGCATGTAGGTTCTATGATGACAATTAGGGTAGTCACTAATCTAAGTTAGGATTTCTGTTGCTGTGATGAAACACCATGACCAAAAAGCAAGTTGGGGAGGAAAGGGTTTATTGAGCTTATGCTTCCACATTGCTGTTCGTCACTGGAGGAAGTCAGGGCAGGAACTCAAGCAGGGCAGAAACCTGGATGCAGGAGGTGATGCAGAGGCCATGGAGGAGCATCGCTTTATTGGCTTGCTCCCCATGACTTGTTCATTGCTCAGCCTGCTTTCCTGTAGAACCAGCTCAGGTATGCCACCACTCGCAATGGGCGGGGCCCTCCTGCATCAATCACAATCATTAAGAAATGCTCTACAGGTTTGTGTACAGCCTGATCTTATGGAAGGTGTGTCGTTTTCCCCCTCAACCCCCTAGACAGGTTTTTTTTTTTTTTCTTGTAGTCCTGGCTGTTCTGGAACTCTTCGTAGACCAGGCTGGCCTTGAACTCACAGAGATCCACCCACCTCTGCCTTCTGAGTATTGGCATTAAAGGCTTGTGCCACCACCGCTTGGCTGGAAGCATTTTCTTAAGGTTCCCTCTTTTCAGATGGCTTTCGCTTGTGTCAAGTTAATGTAAAACCAGCGAGGCACAGAAGCTGAACAAGATATGGATCTTTGAGGACAGCAGAATGTCTTTAGGAATCATTTTATTGCTCCATTCTTGGTTTTCTCCTAGGTCCCTGGCCTATCTAGTCTTGGTCACTCAAGCAGTGTCAGGTATGTGTTCCATTTCATGCTGTAGGCCTTCACTTAAATGGGATCTTGTTTGGCTACTCCCACAAGCTTTGCACCAGCATATTTTGCTGGCAGGTCACTCTTGTAGATTTAAGGGTTGGTAGCTAGGTTGGTGTTTATCTTTCTCCTTTGTTAGAACACAAAGTGCCTTCTAGTACCTTGAATACTAGACCACAGGGGTGAGGGTATTCGTTCACTTCTCTTAACGTAGGACCCCATCTGGTACAGACCTGTGCAGGCTCTAGGTAGGCACTAGCTCAGCTTCTCCATGTTCAGTGAGTTGTGTAGGCGCTTTCTTCAGCAATAGGACCTTACTGTCAATTTATGGAGAGCCTTGGAAATAGTCTGGTTTGCTTGGAGATTTTCATGGGACCCCTTTGGCCAACAATTTGATTGGATATAAACCATTCCTGGTACTAGAAGTTTCATTTGGTGATGAGAGATGTCTAGTTGGAGCTCTGTCTCCCCCATTATTTGTCAATTTCATTTAGACCACCTTCATACATGTATATATTACAGGAAGCTTGCACTATGTTAGATTTCCATACAGCCCTTCAAATAGCCCTTCATTTTAATAGCTCCTTCCTGTAACCTCTCCTTGGCTCCCCTTCCCTCCCTCTTTCTATTTGATCCTTCCATTTCAGCCTTCCCCACCCCATCCAACCATAACTATCTGTTCTAGTTCCCTTTCCTAGAGAGATCAGAGAGCTCATACTTCCTTACTCTCTACCTAACCTCTGTGCTTCTACAGATTGTAGTTTGCTTATCAATGACCTAACAACTAGCATCCATTTATAAGGGAATATATACTGTGTTTGTCTTTCTGGGTCTGAGTGACAGGTCCAGGAACAGGAACATAAAAATATAAACCGAAAAGAAATGGCAACAGACCATCGTCATCTTTGTCAGCAGCAAGGGGTTAACTTTTAACCAAGGCTTTTAAAACCCTTACAGCTAGCACCTCTGTCAACAGCCAGGGGTTAACTTTTAACATAAACCCCTGCCACTTATAACTGACAACTTCTGTCGACCAAAGTTAACTTTTAATAAAGGTTTGTGCAAGACCCCATCCCATAAATTTTAGCCAAATATTCCTATGTGACTTTCGGCTTCACATTTTTTTGTTTTTTTTGTATCCTTCCTTGCTATGGGAAACCTGTTGTGCCAGAAAACTTGTGAAGTTCTTTACAAATACTATTGGCTATGAAGAAAATCTGCAGGCCTCTGTAAACACCATTTTAACTGAAACCTTTTTAATAAAAATTGTAAATCTTAAAATGCAAAATGTCTCTAAACTTTACCTTGAAATCGTAAAAATTCCTTTGTCCATGTTTACCATTTACTTCTTGCTGTAAAAAGGGGGCCAGAGCCCAGCTTCATTGCCACAGTTTCAAAGCCTGAGCTCTGGCTACGGTCTCCACTAACTTGATAAGCTTTTTGTGCCCTGCAGTGATATTTTTTTTTTTTCTGGAATAAAGTTTTCTTCTGGCTTCATGGACTTTGGTGGTCTGTGCCCCATCGTTGTGCGACCCCGGACCCAACATGAGTTACCTCACTCAGAATATTTTTTTTTTTTTAGTTCCATCCATTGCCTGTGAATTACATTATTTCTTTTTTTTTTAAACAGCCAAGTAATACTCCATTGTGTAAATATACCATCTTTTCTTGACCCATTCATCTGTTAATAGATATCTAGGTTGTTTCCAATTTCTGGCTATTATGAATAGAGCAGCAGTGACCATGTTTGAGCAGAGTTTCTGTAGTAGGATGAAGCAGCCTTTGTGTATGTTGCCCAAGAGTGCTGTTTTACTTAGGGTTTCTATTG